CAGATCAACGACGTGGCTTTGGCGCCTGATGGGAACACGCTGTTCTGTGCCGCCGGGAATGTGGTGCAGATCTGGGACTTGAGGAGGTGGGTGTGAGGGGGGATGTGTGTGTGTGAGGGGTGTGTATGTGTTTGGGTGTGTGTGGGGGGTGTGGATGTGAGGGTGTGTGTGTCAAGGGGGGAGTGGATATGTTTGTGTGAGAGTGTGTGTGTGTGTGTATGGGTGTGGGGTGAGGGTGTGTGTGTGCGTGCGTTCCCGCCCCCCTCCATTTATTAATTTTGGATCGACCACTTGTCCAACCCCACCCACCCCCATTTATTCGATACCTTAGAGTATGTAGTAGTATTTGTTCGATAGGTGGGTGGTTGGCGGGTGCTCTGGTGTGGTTTGCTTCTTCTTTCCTATCAAACATCTATCGTCCTTATCTCCCCTCCTTTTTTTATTTTTGTTACTCTCTTATAACACCTCTAATCTTCGGCACTTATATGACCTTGTGTTGCAAGTGCCGTATACTCTTACTAAAACAAACATTTTTAGGCTGTCTGTGTGTGTGTGACATGTTCCCTCCCTCCCTTCCCCAGATTTAGCCAGGCAGGACGACTAAGCGGTCACCAGGCACCGGTGATGGCGCTAGCCCTGGACACAGATGGGGAACATACACTGGTCATCTCTGGGTCAAAGGACCACTACATCAAGGTGTGTCTGTCTGTCTGTCTGTCTGTCTGTCTGTCTGTCTGTCTGTCTGTCTGTCTGTGTGTCTGTCAGTCTGTCTGTCTGTCTGTATGTATGTCTGTCCTTCTGTCTGTCTGTCTGTCTGTCTGTCTGTGTGTCTGTCAGTCTGTCTGTCTGTCTGTATGTATGTCTGTCCTTCTGTGTGTCTGTATGTCTGTCTGTCTGTCTGTCTGTCATTGTTTCTGTTGATTTGTTGCAAGTGTGTCCGTCTGTCTCTCTTGGACTTTCCCCAAGCACTTACGGAATGTTATTGTGTCAAAATATATATATATAAAATTATGCTTTAAAAAAAAATTTGACGTCTGTTTTCTTTTCACTGCGCTCTGGTGTGTTTTGCTCCTTCCTTTCTATCAGGCATTTATCACCTTTATCTCTTCTACCTCTTTTTTATTTTTTTTT